CAATTGGCTAAGCATCCAGTGCTTGATTTTGGCTCAGGTCCTGATCTCATGGTTCGTGGGATGGAGCCCTGACTTGGACTCTGGTTCCATGCTGACAGTGTGGAACCTGCTTGGGATTCTCTCTCTCTGCCCTTCTCTCTGTCTCTCTTTCTCTCTCTCTCCGTCTCTCTCGAAAGAAATAAACAAACTGGAAAAAAAAAAAAGATACTTTATCCTAAGCAGCAAGGGAATTTGGCAATTTTATTAACTGGAGGACTTCTGGTGACTCAGTAGTAATGGCTGTCCTTAACAGCAGAGAGAGGTACATAAAGTAAAGCAAGTAAATACTCCAGGTGTTCTTCAACTTTTAGGTTTAACTTTTTGGCTTACTCTAACTTGGCTTTTATTTTAGGTTTGGCCTTTGCTTCAGGTTTAGCAGCCACTGTGACTATTACCCATCTCTTAAAAGCAGGAGACCAAATTATTTGTATGGATGATGTATATGGAGGTAGGTGACCTCTCTCATTCATGTTGTGTCAACTGATAATGTTAAAGACAATAAAGTAGGTCCAGAATTATATGAACAATGTTACCAGGCTTATTGATTATTTATTATCTTTTAAAGGTGTGAGGGACACCTCCATGCTGGCCCAGACCTGGTAAAGGAAGAGTATAAACATTTAGGATCCATGCTCTGGAACTGCTTATAAGAGAGATTGCTTAATAATAATTTTATTTAAACTGCTAGAATGAGGATGTTGGACCTGATTTACTTTCTACATATATTCTACTACAGAGAAGATAGTGTTTAAAGAGAGAGTATTCTAGTGTTATTTAGAATTTTTACCTGTAATGAGAATGAGCTGTAACCCAGGTCACTCTCAAGGGTTTACCTCTACCCACCCCTGTATCCCTGCCACACACTTAACCTTTTAAGAATCTATCGAAAACTATGGGCTCCCTTCCCCCCAAAAAGTGTACTTAAGATTACACCCAATGTTTATCATTTTAAGTTTAGGGTCAAGAAGTCTTACCTCTTGAAGTCCATCATGGATCCAAATTTAAGAACTTCAAATTTTAAACAATTTCAATGCGAGTAACTTAAAAATAAATAAATAAATGCAAGTTATTTAAAGTGGTGGACAGGAAGGTAAAGGAGACAGGTTGCCCTGTAAGCAAGACTGATTTTGTGTTCAAAACAATAGCAAAAATGTAAATATATATATATTCCACATGCTTCCAGATAATTAAAATAAAACTTCTAGAATATTATTTTATCTATCTCCTATTAACAAAAAGTTAAATCTTACTTTTAGTAATCATTTAACCCTCCTAGAAATTTGCCAACTGCTTGGTATTTATGGTTGTTCCCTATGATAGTTTGTTGAATAGAAATTATAAAAATAGCAAACCCTTAGTTGCTTTTATAATGCATTATAAAAACCTCATGGCACACTTAGGTATAAAATCTTGAAAATTGCTGTTGATTTTTAACAATTCTTTACATTCTTTTTCAATCTTACATTACTTAGGGTTGGTCTTTATAACATCAAAGTTCAGTATATCTTTGGTCATAGAGTATTTTTTTTTTTTTGCTTGACTAGCAATAATAGAAATTTTTCCTTTAAATTTGCATATGTAAAAATCAAATCCAGAACAGTGTTTATGAAAGAAATTATTCTAGGTTGAATGACTTCTCTCTTTCACTGTAAAACTATAAGCTAGTAGTTTGATTTTTTTGCCTCATTTATCATTAAAGCTTTTAGAACCACATAACAAAAAGATTGAGAAAGTACAAAGAATAATAACCTGTTTTTTTCTATTATCAAAGCATAATCAGACTGAAAATTTATTTTGAATGTTTTACTGACAGTGGTTCAGTCATTTTAAATTTGATTACTACGAAAAAATTGTTGAAAAGATACTGATGCATGCATGCCACTTAATGTTTAAAGAGCAGAGATTGTATGTTTTCAGAAATATTTTCTGCTTCACTTCATGTTCTTGGTGCAGATATCAAGTGTGTTTAATTTGACCCTTTAACTCTTAGTTTAAAATCCAAGCCTTATCTTCTTTATTATACAAGATAGCTAAATTATTTGACCAAAGTAGAATTGTTGATTTTGTTTTTATTTGTGATTGACACTTCCTTATATTTTTAAAGTATTTATACCTATAAGGAATAAACATTTCTCAGTACAGTGTCCTTTCCATTTTGTCTGATTCTCTTCTGCCTCAGGTACAAACAGGTACTTCAGGCAGGTGGCAGCTGAATTTGGATTAAAGATTTCTTTTGTTGATTGTTCCAAAACCAAGTTGCTAGAGGCAGCCATTACACCCGAAACCAAGGTAACTTAGTTAGTTTTCAGTTTTGTCTGTTTTCTGTGTGATGTTGTGTTTTTATAATTTTGTTTACTAGAGGACATAATTTAAATTTGCACAACAAATTTTATTAGAAGCCATTGGAAACCATCAACAAGATTAAGATAGGTCTGGCTTCTCGTGATGTTCAGGAACATGAATTCCATAGCAGGGTTCAAGTTCTAACTCTGTATCATAGTTGGTGTATTATCAGGGACAAATTATTTAAGCAAAGTCTCAATTTCTTCATTTCCAAAATGGGGATAATTGCACCTGTTTTATAGAAAGGTAGTTGTGTAAAGTAGATGAAGTAAGGCTTATGAAATGCTTAGGATTGTATCTAACACATAAAAACTGTTAAAAAGATTTGTTAGCAAAAGCATACAATTCTGTACTGCATTATCAAGCTGGTACTGGTAACAGTCATCACAGAGATTGGATTGCAGAAAAGGAAGCTTGCCAGACCCAAACCTTCAGCATACTGGCTTTTTAAGAATTCTAAGTGATACTTCAGCAAAATAATAGTTACAAGTGGAGAATAGGCCACAAACAATCTTCAGCCTCCGTCCTGGGAATCTTGTATGCCACCGGAAGGTGTTTTGTGCCTGAGTGAATGGCATATGTGATATTCTTTCTTGGGGCCTCATTTAAATTCTGCATGGGTAAAAGAAGGACCAGTGTCTTTTATAAGTCAGCCTTTTCCAACTTTTTGCTAATGATTAAAAGGTTTCAGTTGTATCTAAGATTATGTTGTGGTGAATGCTAAAAAACGAAAACCTTTTCTCACACAAATTATTACTTTGAAGATTAACACAGGGGTGAGCTTTGAGTGATTAAGGTTTGTTTTCAAAGGAACTTGTTTTTTATCTTGCTTAGGAGAAAAGATACTTATTAAAATAGCTGGTCTGAGTCTTTCTAAGGGAGGAAAGCAAATTGTGAGTATGTTAATTCTTGTCAACAGAACTTTATGTAGTGGCTCTTTACTGACTTGAATTAATACATTTTCCCCCTGAAATATCTGCCTCGTCATATGAAGTAGATTTTTCAAGTCCCTGTAAAATCAACTTGGTATTTATTTACTTATTTTTATTTTAACTAATTTTTTTATTGTGAATGGGAGTAATAAATTCTTACCCAAAGTATTTTTTTTATTTTTAAAATAATTCAATTCTTATAGAATATGCATTAACTCCCTTATCTTTTCCCTGGTAAAACTCTTGAGTCAGAAGAATACTGAACTAGATATCTTGCTCATTTACATAGTAATAAAGAATCATTAACCCCTTTAAAAAGAAAGCTATAGATAATGTCATTTAATGCAATGGCATCTTGTTTAATAAACAGAATTCTTTTCTTTGGTCTTTTCAATCACTATCAAGCATCTACTATTCAGTGCCTGAATTGCCCTAAGTTTTGGGGTATGATACTGTCTCTTAAATGAGCTGTGAGCAGGTTTTCTGTTGTGTGTAACTTCTCTCCTTTACTTTAAAACCCATGCTGTTCAAGTTCTGGATACTTATTTTACAGTTTCTAATGCATATGGCACTTTTTAAGTTAATATTTAGAATATGTTTGATAGCTTAGGGGTAGTTCTCCTTAATGAAAATTCTAGGCTGTAATAGTCTTAGTGTTCTGTGTTATTTACCTTTGAGAACAAAATTCCTAGACACTGAACTATGTCTTTGAAATTCATCCTCTTTATAATGGAAAGTAATTTAACTTGAGCACTTTTCTGCTTCTATGTAACATGATCTCATTTGATCTTTATAACAACTCCATAAGATAAATATTATCAACCCCATTGTACAGATGTAAAATTTGAAGAATATGGAGGGTAAGTTACTTAGCTATGACTTTTCAGAAATTAATGGGGCCTAGGATTCAGATTCAAACCTTGCAACTTCATCACCCACACTCTTCCACTGTAGTCTGCCAGATGGTTACAATATATGAGATGTATGTTTGTGCAGTGGATTGTTATAAACTATTGTCATTTATTGAATTGTTTTAGCTTGTTTGGATTGAAACCCCCACAAACCCTAACTTGAAGATGATTGACATTGAAGCCTGTGCACATACCGTCCATAAACACGGCGACATAATTTTGGTCGTGGATAACACTTTCATGTCGGCGTATTTCCAGGTAAATGAAAATAAATTTTTTGGCATTATTAGTAGACCACACAGATACCTGTAACTAGGAAAGGAAAGACTTGCTTCCATTAAAATCATTATCAAACTCATGGAATGTAATCATAGTTCTTGATTACACAAAAAATTAAAATTGGACCCTTCTAGGGACGCCTGGGTGGCTCAGTCGGTTGAGCGTCCGACTTCGTCCCAGGTCATGATCTCATGGTTCGTGAGTTTGAGCCCCGTGTCGGGGTCTGTGCTGACAGCTCAGAGCCGGGAGCCTGCTTCGGATTCTGTGTCTCCCTCTCTCTGCTCCTCCCCTGCCCACACTCTGTCTCTCTCTCAAAAATGAAGATTAAAAAAAATTTTTTTAATTG